AAACGAATTCGAAATCCAGTAAAACGTTTTAAGGGCTTAAGATTTTAAACAACACCATTAGCTTGGAATCGGAGCACTTCTAAGAATAATTAGGAGTTATCCATTTTTAAACTCAACGTTCCAACGTTCGAAATATTCTTGATATGCTACAAATGTACGAATATCACTGAAGCACACATCACCTCAGCCAGATAGTCATAGAATTATGATATTACACGTCGATTTCCATTTTTAAACACGAGGAGAATGTTGGCTAATGAATACAAATGAAATAAATTCGAGTTAACCGAAACGTGCCTTCAAACAAAAGACTTAAGACACAAACATGTTGTCGACGCCCATTCGTTTGTCACTTTTCTAAGTCTTTTGGTTTCCGCATTAAATATTCCATAATAAAATTAACCAGTGGATATAAAATGTTCACTTCCAATCCCACAATGCCTACCGCCTCACAGTCAGTGCCCATTGAACCCAAATGATCGACAACATCAACAACTGTTTGTGTATTTAGCCATCTAATTATGCGTTTAGGTTGTTTGCTTTTTTTTCCGAATTGAATTAATAACAAAACATATCAATAATATGTCATCGGTTTATAACAGCTCAGCCCAAGTATTGGGATTAGATTGTAAAGTGATTAGAAAGATTTCCCAGTCAAATAGATTGGTATTTGCAATTGTGTCCACTTCAAACTTACTATGTCATTCCGTTTGCAACACTTCAACGTTGGGAACCCCATAAATTATGTATCCATGATGGGAGTACAATCCTATATCGTTGAAATCGCGATAGAGTTCACCATATTCAAGGCTTTCGTCTTTGAAACGTTGAACAGATTTGAATATTATTTTCAACTGGGATAGTTTCAATTATGAATAGAATTCTCGAATTACAAATGAAAAGTTAGGAATAACAAATGAAATAGGTTAATACATAGATTAACCGAAATATTTTAAAAATACAAGTTTGCAGAAACAACATCTGTACACACACACACACACACGCACACTTTGCAGAAATCATCAAACTCAAATAGATATGAAGTAATTGAAATTCTATTTATTCGCGAAATTAAAAAAATGAGGCACATATGTTGTTTGAATGTTGTTTGCGATGTGTTTAAATGAACGATAATTCACAGATCTCCAAAGATGTAATGTTCAATAGAATGTTGTAATGTTCGATATGAATTAAAAGAATGGTTGGATTGAAATAGAATTAAAACTAATTGCAAGTCGAATTGTATTTCAGTCTTCTTAGACATTATCTGCAATATTTCTAAAGTAAAAGTTTCGAAATAAACGAAATAGATGTAACTCATGAACCAAATCACATGCACAGACCAATACTCATAACTAAAAGCTTTGGTATTGACGTCGCCTAAAGCTTGCAGAAACAAAATCCTGTTCGTGGGAAATCTGGCTAATATCATTAATACGCGCTCCGCAAATTAAGTTTCTTCCAATCACTGATTTTGAAAATATTTTGTTTTTATTTTTCAAAACAATAAATTAGAAACAATTTTGAAATACTAAGAACTGGTCGTTTTCAAACTGTTTTGTTGTCTGGCCGGGGGTGGGTTCGAACCTGGGAGTTCAGGGAACAAAGCGAGCATGCATAACACAGTACAACCGTTTCACGGTTTGTTATTGTAAATGCACAAACTTTCGTATTTATCAGACAAGAAGCATTGCTGGATAACTTTGTTAGAATGGAGACAGAGCTTACACATACATGTTTCCTACTTTAAGAATGTATGAGCACTTTTTCTTTACAACTGGTTGTACAACTGGGAGAGGTTGTATTCCAGATTGTATTTCCTTTTGTTTTTATTTTTGAAGAGGCAACACCGATAATACGAAATCCAATCAAATGTGTGATTTTAATGTATATATAAAAAGGATTTTCAATTTATAAAATGGAATTTCAAAAATTAATTATAAATAAAAGCAATTGAGTCAATTATAGAGCATGAATTTTTTTCCGGTGTCATCTTAACTCAAATAAGCTCTACGAAAAGTGAAGTTGTACAAAGAAGTTGTACACTAAATTGTATCGTTTGTGACAAAAACACACAATTTGAGAACTCTCCAAGTTGTACAACCAGTTGTATCGTGTGTGGCTTGCATAAGGGTTTTTGGATTACATTAGAATTGGAGTTTTGAAACTTTGGATTTCATTTTTAAAATTTGTCAATAAAAAATTTTAAAAACTTAATTCGGATATAAGGAGTAAGAAGTAAAAATTGTCTTCGTAGATTTACAATTTCTATATCAAAATTACAATATTACAATACGATATCAAATGAAGCCAGTTTTCCTATGCTTGTGCAACGTGTCGGATGCAGCAACGGCAATTTCCTGCAGAGCCTCTAAGATTTATAAGGCCCCGTCATGGGTGTACCGCCCGACTATGTATTCCATGTGCTCGTAAGCTAGCTACGTAAATATGGATGAGTATATCGGCGATTAATTATTCTTGTTCTTGTGGAATTGATTTGCTAATTAATATTCGGCTCTTCACGCTTGTTGCCTATTAATGTTAATGGAATTAGACATTGTTTTTGGAACTTTCTGCGGCGTACGCAATCAAAGTAGCAATCTGTACAAACTTGTATACCTGTGTGTTACACTCGTCGTATGTAAATGTTTTGACTAAATTCCATAATGTTGGCATGGGATGGACATTATTCAGTTATTTATGTATGGGTCCCATATCTGGTCAATGGATTCGAAACTTATTCCTCTCTAGGTCTAGGCCACGATCGGATGCATATTTCGAATTTGGATCGGTACAAATCAAAACAAATATATAATTCAGAACAATATATATACATATATATGTATTTAAATCAGACACCTTGTTTTTGCGATTCTTCCTAGGCTAAGAAATTGACAGAGGGACATTTTATCACAGCTGTATAACTCATGTTAATTTAATATCAGAATGGGATATGCTTACAAAAATACGCGACGATAGGCGATTTGTGTAACACAACAAATATATAATTCAGAACAATATATATACATATATATGTATTTAAATCAGACACCTTGTTTTTGCGATTCTTCCTATGGTTAAGAAATTGACAGTGGGACATTTTATCACAGCTGTATAACTCATGTTAATTTAATATCAGAATGGGATATGCTTACAAAAATACGCGCCGATAGGCGATTTGTGTAACACACAGATGCACAAGTACATAATGCCATGGACCAAACACTGGGGTAGGGTGGGTAAACCAGTCGGGAGGTAGGTAGGAAGCAATCCAGTTTCAAACCTCACCTTCTGTGGGTCCAAATCACTTTTGTCAAGATCGCCGATAATATCATTGGATCGATATTGCCATTATGGTCTTGCACTGAACTTGGGACTTTTAATTGCACCTATCGAAATTTAGCCGGCAACGAAATAACCTCTAGCGATGGGTTGCGCGCCGTTCCGTTGCCGTGTGGTAGAACGAAAGCTCAAAGATTTGTTTTAGCCGACATACATAGGAAAACAGAACATATACTCCGATATACATACATGCATACATACATGCACGTATGGTAGGTATGTATGTGTGTAGACATGTAAACAAAAGTGGCCGTTGGCAGCACTTGGCTAAATAAAACGTTAGTTCAACAAGGCATTTGAGATTACTAAATCTTACTGGACAAATTTCTTCCTTCAACCAGTAGCCTCGAGCAGGTGGGGCCAATTGGTGGAAATGAACATCTATTGCTTATTGATTGGATAATTCCTCATTGTTAAAACTCGACATGTCCTAGCACTCTAATATCTCTCTCTCTCTTGTCAGTCATATAACACTTTTTTAATCAAATTTAATATTCTTTTTATAATTCATACATTTTGAAATTGGATTAAATATTTGGTATAAATGTTGGACATTGGATCTAGGTATAGCTCTGAACCTACCAGAGCCTACAAGGGAAAACACGGTTATCGTATAAGAGCATTACATAAAATTCGGAATACTCAGTCGAAGTTTTTCACAACACAACTAAAACACATGCATTTATATGATAGTTACCTAATTGCGTCGGACGTACGAAATGTCAAAGTTGAACAATTCGAGTATTGACAATTGAACAATTTATCTTTTTGTGTGTTGGATTTAGACAAAAAATAGTACAAACAACTAAAAAAGCAGCTAAGTTCGACCGGGTCGAACTTTTAATACCCTCCACCATTTTGAAGAATCTTGAAAAATTAAAAAAAAAAACCGTCGAAAAATACCACTTAAATGAAAATCATTATATCCCCCATATATGCGAAGTCCTGGTTCTGCATAAGTAATTTTTTGTCATAGGCTGTAGTATCGATTCCGAACTTCAAATACGAAATTTGAAACAATTCTGGTAAATAATGTTGCTAATATCATCAAAATACCAGATAAAGGGATGTACTGTTATATGGGCTATACGAAGGCGTGAACCTGCATAGAGAATTTTCTGGCATATGTTGTAGTTCTCATTACGAGCTTCAAACTTTAAATACGAAATTTGAAACAATTCCGGTAAAAAATGTTGCTAAATCCATCAAAATATGGAGGCTATATATAGACAATTCTCTTCCAGGGGGCAAACTTCCCAGAAGGAATTTCAGACAATTTTATTAAAAAATGTGACTACAATCATTAAAATATCGTGGACCGAACTTCAGTTATTCAAAAACTGGCACACTCAGATCAGATAAGGATTACAACTGCAACCGATCTCTGTTTCATCCACCACTGGTCGTCAAACATCCATTGATATTACGTTAGTTCTCTGTTCAAGTGGGTAACATCGGAAGCATTCAGACGGATGCGCGAGTGTGTGTATGTATGTGTGCACTTCTTCGGCACGTTTGCTTGACCACGCGAAGAAACCGACGCTGGCTTGCAAATATGAATTGTTATCGTCGTGTGGTGGCGATGTTGGTGGTGGTGGTGGTGCTGCGGTCTTATACTAAACATGAAGCTGAGCAGTGCGCCAGCAGAACAGGTGACAAGATCGAAGTAAATCGAATAGAAGACGGATACCTACGAGCCAGATGAAGTTAGTCTGCTGTTAAACCGTGAACTAGTCGCACGCTTCTCGGACACCTGCGCGAAGATACTAAACGATTTGTAAATATCTGTGTAAAAAGGAATCGCCTATCGAAATTCTAAAACAAAGAGTGTGTGTGCATGTGCGTTGTCGTGCGGGTTCTACCAAAACAAGAATAACTTTGATTTTTGCGAATAGAAATAAAATAAAAACTCGAAGAATAAGGAAGTGCGCTTCTACAAATCGCGACTGTTGCAGCATCAACATTGACTTTAATAACTGCGGGACGAATTTGAATAGGACAGGAGACAAGTGTTCGACACTCAAGGCATCACTGATCGGAAAAGGCAAGTAAACAGTTCAAAAGTCAAGTTGGTTGCCAGCGATGATTGACCATGGCGGACGGTGTCCTCGAGTGATAAGGATGTGGCTGTGTGTTCTGCAATATCTCATGCACGCGATTGCGACACTTGTTGCCTCTTTGTGTGGCCGGAGAGACCGACCTCGAGTTTGTCATTCAGCTTATTTGTTATTTAGTTTTCGAATTTCAATTCAAATTAGCAGACAAACGTCAAAAATCATGTTGGCTATCGCATCAATCGGACGGACGTTCAACCATTAAAGCTGGCAATTCGTGGAGCTATAAGTGGCGATCATTGCACTGATCTGAAATTCAAATGGCGATCCAAACACATTATCGATTTCTGGTCATTATTGAAAGAAATATCATTTTCATTTAGGTACCTACCTAGTCCGCATAAAAGTTCGGTTGTTTGTGTATGTAAGTGCGCCCTCCTCTGATGTGGTGGTTATGCTGATGATGGAAGATGTGAAGATGTTATGAAAAGATGTTGTGTTTTTTGTCTCTTAGTTACGAGCTTATTGGTCGCCATCGGCAATAGTAGTGCAAAGCACAGCAGCAAAAACTCGCTCAACGAAACCAGCACAGCACAGTACGGGTGGAATTTTGGCTGATGCTGGACTTTTGATCAATTCGGAATTGCCCTTCACTTGGACAACACCTCAGCGGTGTGTTGGCGCAACAATGTGTTGGCGAAAAGCAAACTGCGTACATTCGTACACCCGTCAGAAAAAGTACTTCATTTTACAGACCAATCGGTCGAATTGCGTATGCCTCTCTTCTGCTACGGTTTGTTTGTTTGTTCGTTTGTATGTTTGTTTGCTTACCCTAAGTACAAACACCCAAACCCAATTTATCGGTCGGCGGACTAAAACGGAAATTGTTCCAATTTCGACTGGTCTGTGGTTTTACCCATTGGTGATAATTGGTTGTTTGGAAAACAAATAAACGTTGCGTTAAATGTGAGGTAACCTCGCAAGTTCGTCATCGAATCAGAGTTATTCTTAATTTTTTTTGGATTGATATGAAATTCATAACACATATACGACGGCATACATACCTACATAGATACTCGCGTTCGTATGTATAGATGTACAAAGACGCGCACACCCATGGCTTCAAGAAGTGTTAACTCAGCACAAAAATAGAAAATGAAATAAACAGCGATACATGAGTCGGGTCAAATAATATTAATAATAATAATAATTCAAAACAAGTTCACAATGTGGCCACTAACCTCTGAAGTCTGAAGCCAAGTTATCTGCTCCAAACAACAGTTCAATAGCACAGCGTTCTCTGGCAAGCACCACTCGATACACATTTTTGTGTCAACAAATTCATAATCATCGAGATTATATTCAATGAGAACTTGTCGTTCTGCTTCCGGTGAGCGTGTTAAGTTGAAGTTCTTCTCAAGTACAAGGTCAACCAGACTGCTCTCCGATAGATGCGCCTCTGTGACCAATTCCATGGCCACAAAGAGATGTTGTTTTCAATAAACCACGTCTATCATCAACGTCAGACAAAATATCAATATTGTTGTAGTTATAGAATGTGATTAATAAACACACACACACGCACATGTACATTACGGTTATAAATAAAAATAACCACCACCCCACACCACCCCAAAAAAAACCCAAATGCCTCTGCTATGTGGAAAATATTGTCCTTATTTATATCTAGGATTTTTGTTTATTGAAAAGTTCTTTCTCGACTTGTCGTGGATATTTTTAATGGCACATTCGCCATCATAAAGTATTGTCTTTAATATCCGCATATAATATCATATGCCAGCGAATTTCGATACCCACCATTGATTTTAACATAAAAAAGTGAATTTGTCATTAGTTTGAATTCAAATAAATGTCACAAAAAGTGCCACCTCGTTTTCGATAGTTTTTCTTATCCTTCAAGGGTCAATATTTTCCCGTCTGTTTTTCATATTTGTACACAGGTCACAACCCTAATGTACATAGAAAGTAATAACTTGACGTGATTACAAATAACTATGACGCGATCTTTTGAAGTCACTTTTGATTATTAACATGTACTAAATATTAATTAATTACTTCCTAACCCATCCGACTGCCGTAGTCGTGAAGCACGCAAGCGTGAATTTTTGTCACTCATGGGTTACACATTATGCAGTCACCGCACCTGAACTCTCAAGGAAAGCCCTGAGTACGCCACAAAGCAACGCGTCAACCAACCGAAGTGTTATTATTGTCAATTGTTTGAGTCAAATCGTATCTCAACATCATCAAAGTGGCCATAAAATGAGATGTTCCAACGACTATCAGAAGTAATATAATACAATTTACGTGTGTGCGTGTGTGAGTTTCTAATCCACTCTAGCCTAATTAGACTTTCCACGTTCGGCTCCCTTTTAGCGTCAACAAATGAATTGGGAAATAATACTGAAAAAAGAAGCAGTGAAAAACAGCAGGCGAAGGCACAATAAAATGTTTGTACAAAATGGGATCAGATTCAGTAAATTTGATAGTAGGTCTGCCTGATTACTTTTCCGGCAGGAATTGTCGAACATTACTCTTTCTGGGAGAGTAAGGTGGGTGTATTATCTTTTGCAAGAAAATAGTGAAAAGGAAAAAATATAAAATTTTAAACAAGCACTTAGTTGTTTTGCGAAAACTAAGAACTTCCGATTTTGCAAAAAAAATAAAAATTCCAAAATATATTTTTTTAATTCCTTGCACCAAAATAAATCATCGAATGCTCGAAATGGAAGACGAAGGAAGGGATTGCAAGAAGAGATTGATCAGAAAAGAATTTGCTAACTGACAAAAAAGTGTCAATATTTCTCTCTCGAATATCCCTCTTTTGCAAAGCAATTTGCAGCAATGGTTCAATGGGTAACCAGACAGACCTAGTGCTTCTTACGTGTAAAATATGCTATACAATGCCAAATGATATTGTCCATAATAGGTTCCTACGATTAGTGTGCCAATAAGAATTTACTGAGTAAAAATGCGAGAGAGAGAGAGAGAGAAAATGGTAAAAAGTAAATAAACAGCCTATTGCAAAACCTTTGTAAGATAACAGCTGATGCGTCAAAACAACTTTTTTCGCAAATCCTAACAGCAGAATTATTGTCATGCAGTTAATTTAAAATTTTCGTTTCAAATTAATAATAAAAGAAAACTAGACTTAGTGTGCTCACCATGCACAAAGGATGCCTCAAGCAACAAATACCTACTATTCCTGCATCTTCACTTGATATAGGCATGGCAATGGTGTTCCATAGACGAACATTTTTTGGATGGATTTAACGCCTAAATAAACACAATAACGTGTCACCCGCGCTTAAATCATTTCTCTTTCTTATATAATTATGTTTTCCTTATTCTTTGCTGTTCATAATTTTAATAACATTTTTCCGCAAAAAATAAATTGGTTAAATTTGTTTTTTTTTTTTTTTTTGTTTACAAAACAATTGTAAATCTGTTGTTATTAAATAATTCTTACTGGGGGCATTTTTCCAGTGACTTAAATATTAAAATGTCTCTCTCATTTCGCTAAAATATGCTATACATTGCCAAATGATATTGTCCATAATAGGTTCCTACGATTAGTGTGCCAGTAAGAATTTACTGAGTAAAAATGCGAGAGGCATGGCAATGGTGTTCCATAGACGAACATTTTTTGGATGGATTTAACGCCAAAATAAACACAATAACGTGTCACCCGCGCTTAAATCATTTCTCTTTCTTATATAATTATGTTTTCCTTATTTTTTTGTTGTTCATAATTTTAATAACATTTTTCCGCAAAAATAAATTGGTTAAATTAGTTTTTTTTTTTTTTTTGTTTACAAAACAATTGTAAAGCTGTTGTTATTAAATAATTCTTACTGGGGGCATTTTTCCAGTGACTTAAATATCAAAATGTCTCTCTCATTTCGCTCTCGCTTATGGACTTATGGGGTAAACGAACAGCTTCCAGTAAAAATGTGTACGTCAAATTTCTAGATGGATTCTTGGCTCCAAAGTTCACATTGAGATTGTGATTTCAATTTCAGGCTTTCGGGTTATGATATTTAAGCATCCTATAACGAGATGCGCAAATGCTTAATGACCTGAACCACTGTGGTGAATCGATTCGAAACAATTTCAACAACAACTTGACTGCTGATGAACACATACATTTTTTTAATACTAACAAATAATTATATTTATTTAAAGTGCAAATAATTACAAATTATTTTTCTTAATTTCAATCACAACGAATATTAATCATTGACGAATGAATAATTCTGGATGTGCATGGATACAAAAGACTTAAGACACGACATATCTATAAGCAAATATGAAGGTTGTGCATCTCACTCTTCTCTGCATTTCCTTTTCCACCCCATAGTCCCTAAAGATTAATTATCTATTCTGTTTCACACATTCTTTGCTAGACGGCCATACAAATACTTGGTGGCCGGAACCGCGACAAAATTCACCTCAACAGTCGTTGTTTGTCGAAAGTGGGCAATTCAGCCAGCCCGTTCATTCCTTGGTCCCACAACATCGCTCTCGCCCTCTCTGTATTTGTTTGTTGTTATTGTGTCACCTGTCAGTATGTTATACAATATTTCATCGCATATTATTCAATATTTATGTAAATTTGATCTCAGCGATCGTTAGTTTTACTTTCGTTGACTTAATCAATTGGTCAATAGAATGCCAAAGGAGTAACAGTTGAATGGCTGGCGGCAAGCCATGGCAGACGTAGTAACAACGTAGATAAACGAAACGAACTGCCGCTCAATCGTTGAGCTAAAACACCCGATTGATGGTTGCGAGGGTAAACAACAGTGGTGGAATTTCCAACGGTCACTGCAGGTTCCATTAACATACCTAGAATATATTAAAATATTTTATAAATCAATTTGTTCAGCCGACTTCGAACAACGAAGTCAGTGATAGTGACATATTAAACACTAGCAGTACGCATCGCGAAATGAACTCTTTTTCTTGCTTTT